GGGCTCTGCCGCTCAGCACATGGGCCACCTCCCGTCAGGATCGTCCACGCGAGGGTCGCATCTCAGGGACTGGCAGCTCCCGGAGGACGGCGGGGTGGGGGAGGGAGGCTGGCCCGGAGGTGCAGGGAGAGGCCTGGAGGCCGGGGCTGGGTCCGCCGGAGCCTCCTCCACTCGCGGCCAGCGCGGCCAGCTCAGGCGGTGGCGGATGAGGCAGGAAACTTTCCGACCTAGTGGGGGAAACACCAAAACAAACGGCAGTCAGGACCCGGTGCCCGCTCGCCGCAGCCCGTAACCCCTTCGCCAGCCCCCGCCAGCCCCGGCCGCCGGCTACGACCTCGGGCGACCTCGTCTCAGCCAGACTGGGCGATCGGAAGCCAGGACCGCACGCCGCTCCTGCCTCCCTGGCCGCCACCGCCACCTCCACCTCCGCCGCCGCCTCAGCTTACCTTGCCAGCGCAGGCCGCCATAGTGACTCTGACTGAAACCTACCGGGTGCACCGCCACGGGAACGCGCACCCTTTACAAGGGCCCTCCTCCGCCGTCTCCCGTGCCGTAGTCCGGACGTGTCATGTGAGTGACGCTGCGGAAGCCATGTTTGTCACTGGCAGAGAAGTGGGCAAACTCGTTCTTAGCATGACTCCGGCGCCATCTTTGCTAAGGGACGGGTGCTTCAAACCTCCAGACAGCCTGAGCGACCATTTTGGTAAAGGGCAAGAGAAACTTTGAGGGGTTGAATGTTTCAAGAGCATACAGCGGTAACTTCCTGGTTCAACTTATGAGTAAGAAAGTCCCAACTTTTATTAAATTTATTCATTGTAGTTCTCACTGAAAATACTAACACCTGAAGAGGGTAGATCTAAGCAAAGTAAAGACTTAATAGCAGCCATCGTTGCTGTTGGCAACTGAGTCACTCACTATTGCCTTACCGGTGAGCAAACAAATTCCACAAGTCCCTAGATTTGATAACACCAGGACTTTCCTCGTTGTACTAAATTCTCCGTGCTTTGCATTTCGAATTTCTGTCCTTTTTACTGGTGCGACCGTGTTTCTCAGGACTCCCCGTGGGTTCTAACCTGCCAGTAGTGAGACCAGAAAGTTTTAGGGCTTTTGTTTTGTTTTATTGGGGCGGGGGCCGTTAGAAACACGGAGTTTCTATGTAGCCCTGGCTGTCCTGAAATTTTCTATGTAGATGAGACTGGCCTCGAACTCAGGATCCACTACCTCAGCCTCCTGAGTGTTGGAGTTAAAGGCTTGTGCCACCATGCCGGGCTTTAGTTTTATTTCCAAGGAGAGGACGAAAGTTTCTAATAGGAGAGTATGGACTGTTGCCCAACTAACAATCCTGAAGTATGTGTTAAACCTCCTGAGAATCGCGAGGAGAAAGACCAGTATGTAAGGAGTCATTGTTCTAAAGAAGAAGAAGAAGGAAAAAAAAAAAAAAAGTAGCCAGAGCTGAATGAAAACCTCAAGGAAAGACTGTAGAGAATCTTAATCTTTTAGAATCAGTGCTGACTTCGTTCTTGACATCCTTGTGACCACAGTCTTGCCTGTGAAACCTTGGACATGTCTTTAAACTTCCTTAGACCATCTTTTGTATTTTATAACATAATGATGATAATACACAACCCTTTTGTAGAGAGACTTCATGGTATTACACGGCCCTGTGCAACAGAATATTCATTTCAGTCCTCCCATTTGGCTTTAGACCTGTGCTGAGTCCAGGAGAGACAGATGAGCAGGCCTTCATCTCTGCCCGCTAGTTGTGTTACCAGAACTGTGACTTTCAGACTAAGAGGATAAAATAAGGTACCTTGACTTCAGTATATTCACAGCTCTACTAAAGGAAATCGGGGACATCCTTCTGGGAGAAGTAGCAGAAACTGAATGAAGGGAGGTTGAAGGACTACAATAAATACGGTATTTGCTGGATGGTTTACAAAGTTTCCAGGAAGAGGGATAGCACGGAATAAAATGAGGCTGTTTAAGATGATACATTAGTGTGCCTGCTAAGTAAATATTTAATGTGTGAATGGAAATCACACATTGTTATTATTAGATATAGTCGGACTTCCTTTGAGCTGCTAGCTCCCAAATAATGACACGGAGACTTTTTATTAATTATGAAAGCTTGGCCTTAGCTTAGGCTTGTTCCCAACTAACTCTTTAAACCTAAATTAATTGATTTATATTAATCTATATTCTACCACGTGGCTCATTACCTCTCTGGACTTCCTCCAAATCTAGCTGGAGAATCTTCCCCCCATCTCAGATTCTTTCCCAGAGTTCCTATCACTGCCAAGAAAACCTGCCTCCCCTCTCCTGCTTAGCTGATTGGCTGGACAGCTCTTTATTAAACCACTCAGAAGGTACGTTAGGCAGATAAGGTAAACAAACACACATCTCCACACAGTTTACAAAGATTATCCCAACAATTAGACGATAAAGTATGTGCAGCACAAAGTGAATTTGGTTATAATAAGTAATATATTATGAAAATCTGTGTGTATGTACATGTGTGCACATGTGCTTGAAGCTTAAATATGAAGCCCAACACCCAACCTTTCATGTAGCAGTCTCTCTTGGATCACCAGTCCCCCAAATCATGACATGGAGACATTATTAATTATGACGAATGCTTAGACTTAGCTTAGGCTTGTTTCTAGGTAGTTTTTAAAACTTAAATTAACCAACCCATTTCTTTTCATCTGTGTGCTGCCCTGAGGCTCATTTACCTTATTAGTTATGATTGCTCAGACATAGCTTAGGCTTGTTTCTAGCTAGTTTTAACTTAAATTAAGCAGCCCATTTCTGTTCATCTGTGTACTGCCCTGAGTCTCATTTACCTCAACTGCATACTGTCTCTCCTGCATTCCTGCTCCCTCCATGTCTGGCTGATTGGCTCCAGGCTGACTGGCCCCCAGCTGGCTGGCTGGCTGGCTGCCCTTTCCTCTCTGTCCAACAGCCACGCCTATCCCTCCTTTGCTTAGCTATTGGCTGTTCAGCTTTTTATTAGACAAATCAGGTGCCTTAGGAAGGCAAGGTGAAACAGCAACACACCTGTGCATAAACAAATGCAACATAAACAAAAAGCAATATAGCTTTCCATAGTTAAATAGTTATACTGCAAAACAAAAAAAAATGCAATACGATACCTTCACACGTTTTTATGGTTCTTCATCATTTCAACAAATATATTGAATAACGATAATACCCCAGGTGTTTTGTCCTAGAGAATAAGAACATACTGGAAAGTTTTGTTATCAATATGAAAAGTTTTGCTTCTGATAACTTTTAGCCTTAAAATAATAAAGTAAACCATGTGTGGTAGAGCATGCCTTTAACCCCAGCACTCAGGCAAATAGATCTCTGAGTTAGATGTCAGCCTTAGCAAGTTCCAGGTTGGCCAAAGCTACATAATGAAACCCTGTCTCAGTAAGAAAAAATTTCACAAACCTCTAGTGAGTTGTGTGCATGAATTTTAAAGTTATTTAATCATGTTTTTATTCATTCTGCAAGCATTTCATTGAATACCCACTGGGAAGCAGAAACTGTCAAATGCCCTGGAATTTCCAAAGTAAAGAAGAAAAGTAAAGAATTCTTAAAGTTTCCTATAGTTTAGATGAAGGCACAATAAGATCCTTGCTATATTTGGAGTAATTCAAAAGTAATGGAAGCATAAAAGAATAATTTAAACTGGGACTCAAAAATGAGTAGGAGTTGGGCGTGTAGGCCAGGAGCAGAATGATGACCTACCATTTGCATGGCCTTGGGTCCACCCCAGGAACATGAGTGTTGTGGGATATTTGTACACCGTATGAAAATATATTGCTGTGATTTGTTTAATATGTGCGGAGTAGTCAATAGCTAGACAGGAAGTATAGGCAGGACTTCCAGGCAAAAAGAGTAAATAGGTGATGAACTGAGGTCACAGGATGCCAGGAGACACAGAGATGAAACAGGAGGTGCAAGATGAAGGAGAGGTAATGCCATATGATAGAACACAGGGTTTTACCCACATTGCAAGACCCCCAAACGAGACCACCACAGAGCCAGTGTCCATTGCAAACACAGAGGGGTTTATTTATTACAAACTTGAGCTCAGACCATCATCCAGCCTCCAATGTAGTGGGTGGAGAAGAACGTCCCTGAGTTTCTTGGGTAAGGGGTTTTTAAAGGAAAAAAATTTGCAAGCAGAGTGGTACATGCCTTGGTATTTCTGGATTGGACAAGGATTAAGTCAGGGTGGGCAGCCTTTGAAATCATTGACTGGGGCTTAGGAGAGCTTGTTTCAAGGCTGACAGAAAACCATAAAGTCACAGATATTGTTTACCAAAGTCTCTCATTGGGTGGCCCACCCGGGTGAGGTCATCTTGACCCCTAGCAGTGTGTGATCTTTTTTGGAACTGTTTGTGGTTCTTCCTGTAACTAAATTCAACACAGGTCAAGTACTGTCTAAAATGGAGTTCTTTCTCAAAATGGAGTCTGTCTTGTACTTTCAGTAGAATTATATAGATGGATTAAGTTATAAGAGCTAGACAGGAGCAAGCTTACACTATAGTCTGACTGTCATAATTAGTAAGTCACTGTGTTGTTTGTGAGCTGGCATCCCAAAGAAAAATCTGTGTACACACAAAAAGAAAGCAGCCAGAAATGTTGGAATAGGCCAGTTAATCTGGTATTAATGAGATAGAACCTTTTTAAGTCAAAGCAATAACCTGAACAAAGGGCTAGACACTTGAGAAGACTCTAAGAGAATCCTAAGGAGATCTGTATTGGAGAATAGGGTTGTCTTCTTTAGGGTTTCTATTGCTGTGAAAAGGCACCATGACCACGGCAACTCTTAGGAGGAAGACATTTAATTGAGAAGGTGTGCTTACAATTTCAGAGGTTCAGTCCGTTATCAGCATGGTGGGGAACATGGCGGATGCAGGAAGACATGGTGCTGGAGGAGTAGTAGCTGGAGTCCTTCATCTTCAGGCAACAGGAAATTGAAACGCTGGGCAGAATCCTGAGCATAGAAAACCTCAAAGCGTGCCCCCACGGTGAGACACTTGGTCTAATAAGGTCATACCCCCTCAAAAAAGCCACACCTCCTGATAGTATCGCTCCCTCTGAGCTTATGGGGGCCAATTACATTCAAACTCCCACAGTAGGTGAGAGAATGAGTAGGAAGGAGTCAGAGATGGAGAACTTGTAACCAGTGTAATAGACTGTTGTTGGGCTTTTTCTTGGGACCACAGGCTTCCCAATAATGACATGGAGTCAAGCTATTAATTATGACAGCCCAAACTATAGCTTAGGCTTGTTAGTAACTAGTTCTTACAACTTAAATCAACTCATTTTTATTCATCTAGGTGTTACCAAGTGACTCATGGCTTTTACCTCTAATCTTGCATGTCTATTCCCTCTTGTCTTCTGGCAGCTCCTCCCTTCTTCCTCCTAACAACCTCTGTGCTTGGAAATCCTGCCTATCTATTGGTTATTCAGCTTTTTATTAAACTAATCTGAGTAACATATCTTTACAGAGTACAAAAAGGTTATTCTTCAACAGTAGACTTCAGAACATTTTCATTTCCTTCTAGAAGGCCAAAGTAGAGTAATTTAAAAAAAACTTGCAGAGTCAAACATGATGTCTATTGCCATTTAATAACACAATAGTAAATTATTCAGCTTCACTAAGTCTGTTTCCTCATTTGGAAAAATGTATATAATATTTTCCAGAATCTTATTTGTTCAAGTTATAAGTTCAAGAAAAAATACCAACCATAATGACTGAAAAACAGTAGGTTTTCTGAAAATATTGTTTTATTATTGTTACTAATAGAATTCTTCTAGCCTTACACACACACACACACACACACACAGAGAGAGAGAGAGAGAGAGAGAGAGAGAGAGAGGCGCAAGATGTTTTACCTCTAGTTTGTATATAGAGAATCTTAGCTTTAAATGTAAACACAAAAAGAAATGTCTATGTTCAGTTCTACTATACTATCTCCCAGAATTAATGTTACGTAAACAGAATGAGCTTTCTAGCAAGAAAAGGCTTGGAACTGCTGTAATCTGCAGAGTAAAGAATCCTACCCTGCCACACGGGACACTGGAAATGCCACATGCATCGAAGGCGGTTTTCACCCACTGTTATTTGGCAGGCACAGAAAAGGCTTAAATTAAGAACTCTCATACATGAGATATTTTGAATTGTAGGCCATGTGGGTGTTCCTTCTTATGATTCTGTATCCGTACAAAATTTTAACTGAATTAAAAATATGCCATGGTTTCTTATTTGTTTGTTGGTTTTGTTTGTTTTCAAGACAGGGTTTCTCTGTGTAGCTCTGGCTGTCCTGGAACTTGCTCTGTAGACCAGCCTGGCCTTGAACGCAGGATTTGCCTGCCTCTGCCTTCTGAGTGCTGGGAGTAAAGGCCTGTGGTACCAGTGCCCAGCACCACGTTTTAAGAAGCTGGAATGGCAGTGTTTCCTGATAGTGTAGCTCTCTTTATTTTACCACTATTGTGATCTGGGCTACTTTTCAATCTTGGAAAAGTAAAGATAAAATTCTACAGTTATTATCATAATACCATTCAAATGGGAATTGTCAAGTATATCAGGGATGACTCTATAAATTCAGTTAATGTACAACCTTCCAAAACTGACAATGTCCTAATTGGATTTCAACTAATTACTTTGGATATAATAAACTATGGAATGCTTTATATAACTGCTCAGATTGCTGGTTTGAAAATACTGTCCAAGCAGCTATTTCCAGACCTCTGATATTGCAAATAGGATATGGTCATTATAAAGCTCACTTTCTTTTTTATTAGTATTAAACAGGTATTTTTAAAGATTTATTTAGTTTTAGTTTATATATGTGAATGTTTGTCTGTGGATATATGTATGTATACCACGTGTGTTCATGGTATTCAAAGAAGCCAAAAAAAGGGCTTCTGGTCTCCTGGAGCTGGAGTTATAAGCAGTCATGAGCCATCCCATGTGGATACTCGGATCTGAATCTGGGACCTCTGTATGAGCAGTAAGTGCTCTTAACTGCTGAACCATCTCTCCAGCTCCCATTGGTCATGTTCAAGGACTCACAACTGCATTTTTAAAAATTAACAAAAAATACATAATATTTTAAATATATTTACAATTTTGTGTTGGTTCACATTAATAGGTATCCTGACTTCAGCCTGTGGGTCACAGGTTGGACTCAGCTGCCAAATAAGAAGCCAGGCATACTCAAATATCAAAGTGTGAGCATTAGTATTTTTTTTTATTGAGCTACACAGTTTTCTCCACTCCCTTCCCTTCCTCCCCCCTCCTCTTCTACCTTCTCCCATGACCCCAACGCTGCCAATTTACTCAGGAGACCTTGTCCATGTATGCCTCTCTTAGGGTCCTCTTTGTTGTCTAGGAGCTCTGGGGTTGTGGAATGTAGGCTGATTTTTCTTTGCTTAATGTCTAAAATCTACTTATAAGTGAGTACATATGGTATTTGTCTCTCTGGGTCTGTGTTACCTCACTCAATATGATGTTTTCTAGATCCATCCACTGAGCATTAGTATGTCTAAATGCATATGCTGGCTTATTACAATTGAAGCCGAGCCAGTTGTAATAGCGCACACTTGTAACCTTAGCCCTGGAGAGGTAGAAACAGGACGATCAAGAATTCAAAGCCAAGGTGGCCTACATAAAGAATTTAAAGCTGGCTTGGGCTACACAAAACCCTGTATTTAAAAGGGGAAAAAAAAGTTGATTCTTTGCCCACGAAGGCTCTCCCCTTCAGTAGAAACTCCCATCATTTCCCAGGTGTCCAGGGTGGAGTTGCCACCACATTCCAGAAGCACTGCTCATCGGTTTTGGCTTCCTGGTTCTTCAGGAAATAAAAGAAAAATAATTACCTAAAGACAAGTAAAGACATTTATTTTTCATTTAACATACTATTCCTATGAATGTAAAAAGAGAGAATCAGAATGTCAACTCTAGAAAGAGTCACAATTAATTCATCTTCTTCATTTTACAGTCAAGGAATCTGAGGACCAAAAAAGGAAACTTTATTAGCTGTGTAGTTATTATATCATAACATTTCTGTTCTGCAGCATTAACACTACTTTATAGCTGGGGAAACTGATCCTCTAGCTCAAATACTAAGATTTTTCAGTGTGACATCCCAAATCACCGTACAGACCTGGAATACAAATTAGAGAGGTTTTTTTTTCTTAAAAATGAAATAAAATAAATATGTAGTAATTTTTCTTGATTGGTATAAATTATGCTTTTTGGTTATTCAAGTAGAAGTCCTCTAGAGCCATGATAAATGCCAAGTGTGGCACTGTTAACAGTTTGTCAGCTGTGTCCTTCCACATGTTTGTCCCCAGTCATCTGAGGCACATCCTTTGTAATTCCATATCAGTTAACTGAAATGGGAAAGTCAACAGGAAGAACCTTACTCCCAAAAGTGACAGATAGTTTATATTACTGACAAGAGCCCTGAACTGTGGAGAAGAGAAGGGATGAAATTAGCTATATTTCATCACTCTTATGTAAGCCTCATCGTGATTATCCAGTGTCCTCGTGTCTTTTATAACTAACTAACTTAAAGGTGTTACCTGGTATGTAGCAAAGGCTTAGGAATAAAAAGAGCCACATGAGGCACTTTCTCTCTGAATATTACCAATGTATCTGTTTTGTTTCTAAATATCTTAGTTGCCAAGTAAAATATCAGAGACCCTGTTTATATGTGGTCATAACTAGTGATTTTTGAAAAATGTTTTAAAGTATGATATTTATTTTAGAAAACTATGGCACTCTGAAAAGCAGTTTAATTGTTTGTAATTATTTGTGATTCCTTACTAAGGTCCTTTAAACTTTGTGTTTTAGAGATGCACGTTGTTGCTGGCGCACAGCACTGGCATAGATAACATCAGTGTCTCACTGAGTGGGTAGTTTGAAGAGCTGACAGATTTCTCAGTGGTACAATACCTTAAGGATTCCTAAAAAGGTAGGTTGGTATGGGGTGAAGAGGTTTACAACTCTAGAACATCTCTCTTCCTCAGTCACCACTCAGCACACTTAGCATTCAAGGCTTGATAAGGAGTGGGAAGACCATCTATGGAGTCCTTACAAACTCTGGATAATGATGGGTTTCACATTTGTGTAGGGCCTGTGCTCAGATACATGAATGGACTCCTGTCTTGACATTTTCTGTTAATTTTTTTAAACAAGAGTTCTCTTTTGGTCCTCAAATGATATAGCTGTTCAGAGTTAAACATCCTGCTTCAATCTCCCAGCCTCCATTGCTGTGGGTGTCAATTTTTGACAATTTTTTGCAGTGCTGTAGGGGAAGTTAGTGGTTTTCTGTTTTAGTTTTTGAGATAGTGTCTTACCAAGGCTGGTCTTAGACTCTTGATCCTCCTGTCTCTGAGTTCTTGAGTTCTAAGATTATGGATTATATGCAACCACAACTAGCAGAAGTTATTCTTGAAAATGGGGGCTGGAAAGACAGCTCGGCTGGTGTGGTAATTTGAATGAAAGCAGCCCCTCTAAGTCCATAGTGGGGCACTATTAGGAGGTGTGGCCTTGCTAGAGGAACTGTGTCACTAGGGGCAGGCTTTGATGTTTCAGAAACTCAAGCCAAGGCCCAGTGTCATTCTCTCTCTCTTCCTGATGCCTACATCTTCCAGATGTGAAATTCTGAGCTTCCTCTCCTGCACCATGTCTGCTTAAATGCTGCCATACTTCTCACCATGACAATAATGGAATGACCCTCTGAACTGCAAGCCAGCCCTAATTAAATGTTTTCCTTTATAAGAGTAGCCATGATAGTGGGTATAGTGGTGCATGCCTTTTATCCAAGCATTTGACAGACCTGTGTGAGTTCGAGGCCAATCTAAGCCTGGTCTACAAAGAGCATTTCAGGGCAACCAAGACTGTTACACAGAGGAATTCTGTCTCAAAAAAAAAAAGCAACCAAACAAACAAAAAACAGAAAAGAAAGAAAGAGAAAGGAAGAAAAAGAAAGGAAAAGAAAAAAGTTGCTGCTAT